AGTTATGACCTCACACAATCTCTTACAACTGAATATACTGTAGTTTTAGAGCTTAACTAAAAATATAAAAGTAAAGTACCTTGGCAAATTGATAAAGCAAGATATGAGGAGTGATGGACAGACTAAGCCACATGTTCCTTTTGCTAACAAAATGTCTGCCCCATTTTTATATGATTCATGCATATCACTTTTTAAAATCCAAATTGTTACTATCAGCATGGTTGCTTTAGGATTAGCTTTATGTTTGGCTGTAAGGATTTTAATGCCTTTTATTGAAAAAGATTCTTGATTCCCTCTTTGGAAGAATGGCTAACTAAATTGTGGGGCTATGTCTCGATATCCAGAATAATTTTGTATTTAAAAAGCAAATCCAATGGAAAATTTAATTTTAATTGTAAACTATTCTTGTACTACAATCTTATACAAGGAATTATACCACATCCAAAATTTGGGGTTTAGAGTTCATATTTTAATGTATAATTTACAGTATTGGTGGAATGCGTTATTCACTACCTATAGCTTTCTTTCAATGATTGGAACAGTGTTAACCAAGCACTTTTAAAGTTTGCATCTGACATTATGGCTATAATAAACAATTTGATTTGAATTTAAACAGGAATACATGGATTTTGATCAGAAAATGGACAAGAAATATCAAGATATCAAGAAACATCTATAAGTATCTAATTATGTGTGGAATATCTTAATTTTATGATGTTTCAGGTATGTTACTTATCCACCTGTATTTCTCTATTTGTACCTGATTTTCTCATTTCTACTACCTATTTCTTATATTTTTGAAAATATAAAAAAATACATAAATAATTTTTAAAAAGGAGTAGCATTACATTCAATGACCTATTAAAGCAGCTGCCCCTTTCCAGATTTACACAGAAACCTAAAAAAAAGTAGGCAGTTTTGATAAGAAGCAGGGAGATAGATGTTGTGTTCAAGCTACAGCAGATACACTTCAGCTGTATTATTTTCATCATTTTCAAAGCTTGCACAAGTCTGATTTATACAATACCAGATGAAATATTTTTTTTGCCTCTGTCTTAGGGTCCTCTGGCAGAAGGCTTTAGAAGACCTAATTTCAAAAATTATTTACAATACTAAAATACTAAGTGATTATTAAACTTACCTTCCCTTGTCAACAAAACTACTGGAACAACTATGGCTGTAATGATAACTGCAAGGGCAAGAAGGCCTAATAGGTATTTCACTACCGTCTGTAAAGAAACAAATGAAGAAGTTAGACATGTGCTGGAAAACAGGGAAAGATCTTGGCTAAGCCAAAAGCCTATTGACTTCAGCATCCTGTTTCCAACAGTGATGCTTCGGAGAATTGCATTAGCAAGACATGAGCTCTCATATTTCTGGTATCATGAGGAATGTTGGTAAAGATGCAAAAAAACATACCTAGTGGCAAAATGTGTTTTCTGAGCTGTGTCTCTCTCCTTCCCACTTTCTGAAAATTAATATTTTTGGTATATGTCCACAATACATAACTTTCTTTTTCTACAACATTGGTGGTTTCCTGTATTTTCAGTACTTTGAACCTGCCTCCTTCTCCTACAAAGGTTAAAATGAGATGCTAGATTTCTTAGGATACAGCACTTTGTAGTACCAGTTGTAGCAGATATTAAAAACAATGGTCACATGGATAGTAACCATTGATAACTTTTATCTTCCTTGAGTTTAAGTGACTCCTTTTAAAAGCTATATACATTCAAAGTGACTTCTGTGATTTAATTATGCACCTGTAGGAACGCACGTCTAAGCTATCCCAGATCTCTCCCCATTTATCTTTACTGGAAAGCCCAGGATTGTAATATTATGACAGGTAGAGAAATCTTCCGTATTCCTAAAATGTTGTAAATGTATGAAAGATATGGAGGCCTGAGGAAATTTCTTTTTCTCCTAAGGCCTTCCCCTCCACAAAAATGGAAAAAAGGAAAGAAATTAATTATGAAACATTTTCAAATATTTTCTCTTTAAATTATTTATGAAATGATTATAATGTGAAAGTCTCTTGGGTTTGAGACACTATTTCTGGGTTTGAACTACCTTAACATGTGAAAAAGTAGAAAAGCTTGCATCAAGACAGGCAAATCGATAGCCTTTAGAAGTCTATGGCAATAATGTAAAATTGAAAATAAAGGATCAGAAAAAGTAGAGACTGTTGGCAATTATACTACTTCATGTTCAAAAAAATGAAACTGTTTGGAAAATATTTCATGTAGCAAAATGTGTTTTCTGAGCTGTGCCTCTCTCCTTCCCACTTTCTGAAAATTAATATTTTTGGTATATGTCCAGAATACATAACCTTCTTTTTCTACAATGTTGGTGGTTTCCTGTATTTTCAGTACTTTGAACCTGCCTCCTTCTCCTACAAAGGCAAAAATGAGATGCTAGATTTCTTAGGATACAGCACTTTGTAGTACCAGTTGTAACAGACATTAAAAACATTTTAAGTAGATTCAAAAAATAAATTTATAGTTAATGAGTGAATACTTTTCAATTTTATACTGTACCTCAACCATACTTTTATGAACAAACCAAACTACCTGTAACACATTTCATAACATAACCAAATGACTACATATTCATAAAGGATGATAAAACTAACTTCAGTTTCCCTCCAAAATTCCACTTTTTCTGAAAAAACAAAACTATTTTTCCCTATTGTTTCTAAAATTCCAGAAATTTTGCTTCTTTAATCCATATCCATGACATTACAAAGTAGTAACCCTCATCCACGCGCAATACAAATCAATCAGGTCTCTTGTCTTTCACTTGAGTGATTTATTTTAATTTTGTGCTAAAATATTATTGGAATTCACAATACTAATTAGGCTTCATACATTTGAAAAGCATTCTTGAATTAAAAACTTCCTTCAATCATCTTACCAATCATTTTTGATAAAATTAGCCTTGAAGCCAGAGTATTCAAAGGATAGATTATTTTTTTTCATGGAGTAGAAAAAAGCTTGCTGTTTTTCATGGAGTAGAGCAAAACTAAATGCAGGTGGATTGCCAACAGGCCTTGCCTTAAAAAAAAAAAAAATCTCACCCATCATCAGGTTTGTTCCATCATCATCATCATCATCATCATCATCATCATCATCATCATCATTTCCTTTGAATCAGATTTGACTCCAGTGACTACATGGATAAGTCCCTATAGTTTTTTTGGCAAGATTTTCGGAAGTGGCTTGCCACTACCTTCTTCCTAGGGCTAAGAGAAGTGACTGGTCAATGGTCACCCAGCTGGGTTCATACCCAAGGCAGGATTAGAATTCCTAGTTTCTAGCCTGGTGCCTTAACCGCTACACCAAACTGGCCTATTTAATTTACCAACAACAAATTTTAGCTATTTGATTTTTTCCTTTGATTGCTCTTTTAATACAAACAAGCTGCCATGTAGCAGTCTTATCAACATATAAATAGTAGGATTACTTTAACATGAAATTTATTTCTCTAAGTGATGGTGGAACCTCAACAGCTACACATTATTCTAGCAACAAGGCATATTAGATTTTACATATAATCACCATTTTATCTTGTAACTCCCATTCAGTATTGCAGATCTTTGCCTGAACCTTTGTTGATTTCATAAGGCTACCTGCGCATTCATCTACAATCTGAACTTCTATGCTGTGACCATACAGGTTTCACTTTCATAGAACAGACATTCAAATATTGTATCAACCATCTTTTCTGCGCTATATTCTTTATATCCCTTTTTCAAAAAGAAGTATACTTATGAATGCTGTGAACAAACAACACAGGCGGGAGTATTTCTGTGGTCCCTGTGTCCTCCCAAACTGACTAAGATCCTGGAGTACATGGCTTGCCACTGTTGAAGGAAGAACACAACACTGAACTCCTAGGTCCAAACAATTTTAGCCTCATACAGACAAGAGAAAGGCACTCCAGCATTTTTAATGGCTTATCAAAATTGAACTGAGCACAGGAGTTTTGCCACAGGAAAGAACTTTGCTATTAATGGACATTTCGTTGAATTTTTAAGGTACACCTGGGGGGGTCTAATCTGAGACCAGGTCCCTAATTCTACTGAAGGGTCGAGGCTATCTATTTAGTGTTATTCAGTAGTGGGGAAGTGCAATTTTCCATATGCTCAGTAAAACCGCCTTCTTCAGCGCTGGGCCGAATAAGGAGGCTAAACATCTGAACCGTGGAGTGCGTTAAATCGTGCATGTTCACTGGCAACAGGACCGAGAACGATGAAGGTCCCCCTGAGAAAAAGCAGGGGGACCACTAGCTGAGGCGAGCGCCCCAAAGGCAGCCTTCCTGGCGCGCGAGCAGCGCTTTCGCTCAAGCACCTACAGGAGTTTCGCCGCAGTTCTCCGCGCGAGAATAGCGGCTGCTGAGCTAGACGTTAGGGGTGCA